TCAAAGTTTAGTGATAAATTACAGTATAATTGTTGAGATTAAATAGGGTTTTCTATTTGGGGCGAATTTATTAGTTTAGTCGAATCACGTGCAGTTAATGTATAGTCGAACTTTTTACTGTCATTGTTTAATCTAACTATTGTCTCATGGACTAGTTGTAGAGGTATTTGAGCATCATTCTATAGTAGTTTAAATAATTATGTGTACAACTACCACTGCAAAAAAAAAATGATGAGCAAAGATGCCGAAATATCCATAGCCATGTAAAAAAAAATTATAGCAAATTTTTGTTTGCTGCATACGTGTTACAAAATAAAAAAATGTATCAAAGTTGCTACAAATTAAAATTGTTACTAATTTATGTTACAAATATTAGTGAAGTTTTTTTTTTGTCGCAATACGAAAGTCCCTACTCGTATAAAAACCTACTCGTACAAATAAATCACCACAACATATCCAACGGCCTATCATTCACATTCTTACAAAACCACACATAATAAATAAATTTCTAAATCAATCGTGACATATCCTACAACTGATCACTTAATAATCACGTAAAAAAGGCTTTTAGAGTTCACTTGGCACGAGCGTGGGGCTGATTTGTTTTGGAGTCTCGTTGAGACGAAGTTGTTTCGTTCTCTTGATCTCTTGTTGGTCAAGAAACTTTGTATCAATTCAACAATTATATGATTGAATGATTCTAAGAGAGAGACTTTAATTAAGGATCCGATTTATTATCGAACGTAAATTAATTAGTAGGTTTTACGTTTTGGCTACTTGTTTTTTCACTGAAATTTTATAAAGAAATTGTGTTCGGTTTTGAAAAGAAGTTTGCCAATAGTGGTTCTTTTTGTATAACATTATAGTTCCTAGTCAACAAAATTGGTTGTTCTTCGTATGTATAATCAGCTAATAAATCTCTCCCGCAACGATTGCTTTTTCTCCTCATTCATGGGTTGATTTTATGTGGTTTATTGTTGTTGCGAAGTGTACTATCACAATGAGGAGAAGAGGAGGAAAATCCATGAAGCATACCCAATGGATGAGGTTAATGAATTTCCAACTTTCTATAATTGTGTTCTTATATATGGGTTGTGTTCTTATATAGTGTATTGGGTTTTTCTTGTCTTATAAATCATTGTCCAATAAGTCGAGCATGTGTTGTATGAATGCAAACGATAATCGATATGTTAAGTGTGATCTTTCATCCTTTTTGCTCTTAGATTCAACTCATTTGATGAACTCTCTCTTGTTGTAGCATGAGAGAGTCCAAATCCGTAGTTTGGTTCACAGTCCGGTTGATGATGTACTGATGATGTACGCACTGTCAACGAAGCATACGAGCTCACATCCAAGGTGGAATTCCCTGCTTTTTGTCTTCATCATCCCGAAAACATCATGGAAAACAACATTCCTTGGCCAAATCTTTCTGATGTTGTAAGTCATTATTGAAGTTTGTTTGTTTTAATGTTGTTTTATTGTTTGTTTTAATGGTTTTTGTGTAATGTAGCCTAGCCGGGAGGAAGTCTACGAGAGATCCTTTCCTACGGCGACTTTCGAAAAGATGTCTAAGAAAATGCTCCAAGAAGAGAGACTGAAAACGGTTTGAGAAACCGTAGCTACCATGTGCAGTATACAATTTGGTTTACATTAAAACAAATGTGTTGCCATCAAAACGTGAGGTTTCTTCTTTTTTTCTTCGACTTGAATTACAGTTTCTGTGTTTCATCTCTTGAACCTTATTATCCCAAATCTCATCCACTAGTTTCCATGTGTTTTTGCGTCTTGAATTACAGTTTTGAATTGGATTTGTGATTGTCTTTTCTTGGTAGTTTTTAGAAATTGAAGAAGAAAGTCATTATTTTTTTTTGAAATTTGTGGTTTTGATAGGATTTGAAGGAAGCAATTGTGAAAGGACTTGGATTCCAATCCGAGGAAGTGATGATCCGATACGATTGACCAAAATGTGCTTACCGGAAATGAAACCATGTCGAATCTTCCAATCATTCAGCCTCCTCCAAGCCCTTTCACATTGTAAATCATGTGAACATACATAGTTCATGTTTTATAAAGAAAATTCATTCACTTAATGATCTTTTCTTTGTTTTCTTCTACTAACCATATCTACAGAAGAAATTTTGTATATATATTAAGCCTTCACTGCAACTTGTAATTACTCTCTTTTTTGGTTGAAATTATCGATACATAATCTTTCTATAAAGGGTTTCCTTAAAACTTATGGATAAATGTGGATAAGGACATAAATATGACGACTTATCCGAAAGAATATGATATTGATTATGATTTACTAAAGCCCACTAAGTATTACTCTTTTAAGCCCATATTTTAATTCGCAATGACCTCCAGTTAGTCGCCGAGAGGACTTCGACGTCGGAAGAGTGACCGGCGTGACGAGCGATGGGAGAAGATGAAGTGCGTGGTTGGATTCGCGGCGACGAGACTGCGAAGCAGATGTTATCTAGGGTTCTTAGAGACCGTGCGTTCCTGCTTCTTCCGCCACTTCACCGTGTGCCTTTACGCGCCGGGAACGTAGTCGAGATCACTGGCGCTTCTCCGTCTGCGAAAACTCAGATCCTGATTCAGGCTGCGATCAGTTGCATTCTTCCGAAGACTTGGAACGGTATTCACTATGGAGGATTGGGGAAACTGGTTTTGTTTCTCGATCTAGATTGCCGATTTGATGTGCTCCGGTTATCTCAAATGCTCAAGCATCGCCTTCTCGAAGCTAACCGTAAGCAAATTTCTGAAACTTCACTTCGTATTACTTTAAGTAGATTATAATCAAGTAGTCACCTATATGCATATTATCAGTGAATGGAAGTGAGTTTCATTGCATTGTGAGCATTGTCCTGCAATGGAAAACAGTAGTTTTGATATACTATAATCTTGAGGAAATTCTGGTATCTCTACTTTTACCGAAATTGAGATAATCTCAGTCATATATAGACATTGTTGTTTGGTAGTGTACTGCCAAAATTTGCAGATAGAAATCGAATTTGGTTGAATGTAGTTCTTTTAGTGTATCAGGGTTAGGAAATGGAGCATGGTGGCAAATTGAAGAGTCAAATGTTAAAAACTGCAGATCTTCTGTACAAGACAAGTCAAACATTGTTTATGATGAGGAGTTATATGTTTCATGCATGAAAAGGTTTCTGTATCTTCGCTGCTATGATAGTCTCGAGCTTTTGTCCAGTCTCAAGGTATTGTTTGTGTTCACTGTTGTAAGTATCACATTGTGAGGTTTTTGTTGGATTCTAGGACTCTGTTAAAAAGTTTATATCGTTATCCCGTTGCATTGTAGACATTGCATTCTCGGATTCGACAGCAGGAAGTGTGTGGAAGTCAAGTTGGTGTGCTTATGATTGACAGGTTTGTCTTACAATCTGCTGGTTTCTTATTTGGTTGGATCTACAAAATTTACATTTGCTATTGTCTTTTAAGATTACAGGACCATTCCATCACTTTTTATTCTCGAAATTCTGAAACTAGTTTATCATAGGTTAGGAATACGTAAAGATTACACGAGTGGCGCTATAGTTGATGCCATATGGCTAGATAACGTAGTCCAATATTTCTTTCGCGGATGTACTGCAGGGTTTTATGTTTGCTACTATCTAGCCGCAGACAGGACGAATTTGAGCTAACTATTTTACAATCTTTTCACCAGCATCGGTGCTTTCCACTGGACTGATCGTCTATCGTCATCACTGGCATTGGAGAAAAATAACAGGTAAGATATCTGCCTGAAGACAGTCTAAAGGGGACTCCGGTTAGAGTCTCATCTTTATCACTCTGCTTAGTTTAAAGTCTTGCCACACATTGAAACTGAAAATGTTAAGTATGGTGTAACTGTGTAAGGAGACAGCTTCTCTGATTCTAGACAAGTTTAGTTAGATCATGTGTCTTTTAACTTAATTAAACACAGTTTGGGGAATTTTGAGTTTGAGACTTATATTTATGATATATAGGAAAAGTCTCTCCCTTACAAATGTGGTGGAGACGATAGTGCAAGAGGCGAAGAAGCTACTGCAGGTGCATTCACTCGTAGTAATCGCCACTAAGGCTACCATCTACGAAGAAAAGTACCCAGCAAATGAGAATAATCGGTCAGTTGGTTGATCACAGGCTTTGAATACGGCTCTTTTGTGTTTTTATAGTTGCTTGATCTGTAACGTCCCACAAATATCAGGAACTTCTCCTCAAACGACGATTTGTCAGGGAAAAATGCTTCAAGTAAAGCTCAGCAACCTCCGAATCGTGAATTCATGCCTTCTTCTTGGCAGGTCATTTTTCTGATGTGAACCCTTAAAGCCTCTTCTTGGAACGCTTTGTAGATCATTGTTGACATATACAATTTTAAAACTGCGTTTTTCTGCTCATTGACCCGCTTGTTGCTGTCATTGTAGGCATTTGTAACACACAAGATAATCATACGAAAATCAGGTTAGACTAAATATTTTTCCAGGCGAAACTTTGTTTTGTTGTTCCGTGTCTTTGTTCATATACTTTACAACAGCAAGTTACTTTTTATGATATTTTTTGCAGCTGATGATCAGTCTTTACAAACCGAACAACAAAGTTTGTCGGCGTATTCACTTGAATGGTTACAACCTCATCTTAGTAGCATAGACCGATTCACAGTAGACCATGTAAGGAAACTTATCACAACCAGTTCAAGTCTAATAAAACCATTTTACTCTAATTATTCTTTTTGTGTCTTTCTTCATCTCATGCAGTCTGGTATTGTCATTGTCTCATAACTTAAGAATTTTCGTTTCAGGTATTCTTCAATCTCTCTCTCAGTCTCTGTCAGGTTTTCAATTTGGCTTTTGGTTTATGCTTATGTAAAATGTTAGCATATAAGCTGAATTGTAACATCAGCTAATTAAACAAAGTAAGTACTACGATGTTAGTTTATTGGTGCGTAGTGGAAGCTCTGTTGAAGATCCAACATTTCTCCTCTTTGATCTCGGGAACAAATCGTCACTTTCACCGTCGACAACTACCTTCTATTGGTTCAAAAATGTACTTCTTTGTGTTTTTTCAATATTATTGGCCATAGGCCAATTTAGGCTTCCAATTATACAATAACCCATGATGGGTATTATTATGTATACGATTTAGTTCTCTTTTTTTTCATCTGAATATTAATATATACCAAAGAGATAATTACACCATTTCACCAAAAAATGTGGCCAAGTTATAAGAGATATTAACTAGTGCACAAAAAACATCGGATCGATTTAGTTCTCTAGTAAGTCTTTTATCAAAACAAAAAGTGGAATGGGAAATTCCTAT